AAAAAATAAAACGTGCACCTTTACTCAATATGCTTGTTCATTTCAGAGGAACTGTCTAGGACCTGGTTAAGCATAACAATTTAGCAAATTCAATCACAAAATGGGAACCAATAAGCCATATTTGATCAAATTGTAACTAAAATCCATGTGCATATGTAATGCATCGTATTCATATGTAATTCTGTGTCTTTAATAATTTGAATGAATGCACAGACAGATGGGACCCAAATTAATAGTTTTACATACAAACATACAGAAATATTGAAAAACCCATGATAATACCGAACTGCATAAACAGCTGGAAAAACTTATATTTGAAAATCATAATTAAAAGATTGAATTTGGCTTGTGCATGTGTGAACGCTATGTATTAGCAGAGAAATTTCATCAATTGACCAAGCACTATTTCAATAACTTATCAGTTCAAAGTAAATTTCTCTTTATAATAAGTTTTCCTAGTTCATCATTATTGCAAAATTTATTTATTGCCTAAAAATAAGACTGTAGTATACCGTAATTATAGCCTTGTATATTTTTTAGTTAAATGAATTTTAACACTTTCAGATAAATCATAAACTCAGTCGATTACATGTGTGCTGATGTGAATTTTATGCAATAGTTTCACCAATCTGTTAATCTGTTTCTCAAATATGCAGTGTGTGAAATATGGTGCAAGGACCCTGGTAGGATTATGAAAACTTGTTATTGGGATATATATATAGAATATCTTTATTTTACAAGGATCTGTGATTTCGTCATGTTGTGTGATTTTGGTGTCAATTGCATTATACCGGATTCTGCCCTAAATTCGCCCAGGGCCATTTTTCGGCTGTTTTTTCATGATGATATTTTAATCTTTTTTTGATGTAGTCATTGACGCCTATTCAAGAGTATTGATGTTTATTGCGACTAGCGTGAATGGGTAAATTTCTTTACGACAATGAGCTGTTATTGCTGTAAACAATGTTAAATTATTCTTCAAATGCGCAGTTTATCTTTTGAAAACAACTAATTTTTTATTCAAAAAAATATCATGCCGTTTCCCATCAAAATCTAAGCCAAAAGATCATACTACAACACCGGCAAGTCTCTTCCGTGTTGCATTCAAAAACATTAACATATTTAAATGAGCTATGGTAATTTGAACACGTTGGCATCATCCATTGTTTTCATTGGTTAATTATCGACTTGACCTGTCAGGTCAAAGAATACCGTCCTAGGTCAAAACATAGCGGATATTCATTTCTACAGCATCAAGCATTGAAAATGCGATTGGAATCACTCGCTTACGATGAAATAAGTTGAAATTAGGCAGAGGGTTCTCCGAACCCACCTCCGGTCAGTCAAAATGACTATTTTGAAGTGTAGGCAGTAATCAGCGATTCTACCAATGACGGAGAGATAGAATTTAGGTCAGGGGAAGCCCCATGACACTAAGATTCTTTTCCCTTACGTCACGAATCACGTGACCGTATGGCGACGCCATTACGGCTGGATATCCACTCTGGTTTCTTCCTCTCCGCATCAAAGACTTAGACCAACGATACAGAAAAAATGGGGTGGTTGGGGGGATATAGGCGGGTTCAGAGAACCCTCTGCCTAAATTCACTACGTTCAATTACCCACCATAGACTTCGGTCAGTCAAAATGACTATTTTGAACTGTAGGCAAAGAGTCAAATGCCATTACATGTAGGTGGCGGGTTTTCCGAGCAAACAGAAGTCTTTTCCCAGTCCGAAATGAAACACTCTACAATAATCACTCAACTACTTAGTTAAGACCCAAAAAGGATGGTGTCTTACCTTGCCTGTGCTGTCCCCGGAGCAAGAAGCCAAAAGGCTGCTATGGCGACATGGTTCGGTGTGCCCGAGAAAGCTAGACCCCAACCCAACTCCGGGGGTAGTATACTTGAAGTAATGACCAAAGCAGTTCTGCATGAAGGTATAGGCCACAAAGCGGGACCTGGGAGTTTCCAGGGAGTGTTGACGGTAGAGAAATCTGTCCGCAAAAATGCTGAGACTGACTTCCCTCCCATGGAAGGGTATGAGCGATTGCCTCCTGGCGGACTCTGGCTAGCGGACGACGCCCTAGGGCGTTGTGTTTTTTGTGCTTGCGGTGCCCTCCGCTAGCAGATTCGATCTGAACCCTTTGGTTCATTGCACTCCGAAGCTCCGAGACTGTATCCGCCATTCCCCGAACAAAGAGGGTGGAAGATTCCAGTCTGCGTTACTGAGGTGGAGACGTACCCCCTGACTCAGTTCGCCGGCAAAAACATATGCGTCTAAGGCCGCGTCTCGTTGCACAGTAGTGGCCCCGGCCAAGAGAGCTAGGTGACACTAGGGGATGTCGCACGTAGATGTGCGGTGGCCCACCAGTAAATGTGTTGCCTGGTCTAGAAGGCTGGTGCGTTCTGCCTCCGAGGTCTCTGAGTCCTGGGCGCGCACGATAATGCACTCAAGCAACTCTGCCCTCAGGGCATGATGAATCGTCTCAGATTGGGCTGGCGAGAACACCTATGGAACGCGACTGTTCCCCTTTACCCGGTTTGCCAAACAGAAATTCGTGGTACCGGGGTCTGGGGAAGGAGCCTTGGGATCCGGTTGGGGGTGTTTTGGTCTCATCCCACACTTTGGGGTCTGATCCCGAAACCACACCGACCGGGTAGCATTTGGTTCAGCGGGAAGTGTTGCCTAAGGTTTTCCTTAAGCGTTACGTCCTCCGCGGCTGACCAACGTCCGCCCATCAACACCATTTGCGTGTCCTGTGCCCCACTCCGCACTCAGACGGACAGGGAGAGACGTGCCAACGGGGTTGCTTTGGATCCCGATGCCCGTGATCCCATAAGCGTTGAAGCAACCTTAGGTGGTCACATTAGGATCAAAGGTGGGGGTATTTACATCATATCACTGGGATCGCTGATACTCCGCATCACCCCAAAAGCATGGCTCACCGAGTCATTACGGATGGAAGACTCTGAGGGACCGCCCAGAGTACCGGCTGTATCCGACGCGAGCGAACTGTGTCTACTTTAATTGTGAGAGGGAGCGTGTTCGACTGTGCATCTCATGACAGGGTCGGTTCCCTCTGGGGACGAATGTGGGTCGGTAAGAAGGGAGTATAAAACCAGTACCCGAGATCGGAGTCTTGGCTGCCAGCACCTCGGCAGTGCCGGAGGCTCCAGAGGAGGCTCGGTGCAATTAGCCTGAGCCTCGGCCTCCCCCAAATTAGTGGAAGAGCCGCGGCTGGGAACAGGGGTTCCCCGGAAGAGACGTGTTTGAATGCAAACTTGCTTTCGTGTTTCTTCCTGCTTACCTACCGAGGGGCCACAGTGGAGGCAGCTCGCTCCAACTGCGTCTGATCTACCCGGCCTGCTAGGGACGCAGTTGCCCCGACAGTCCTTTGACCAAAGCCCTCAACTTGGAGGCAAACTCATGCAAAACATGCAACTCACTTTAACCGATTTGTTTACTGGACGCGCATCCTTGCTGTGAAAAAATGAGCGACACGGTCAGTCTCAGCGATTTTGATGGCTCTGAAAGAAAAATCTCAGGCCTCAGAATTCCAGTGAAAAACACACGCCTTCACGGCAAAAAACCTGAACCCTGCACGCAGCTACGACAAAAGTATTTCGGATGCGGGTTCTATGCTGGTAAATTCTGAATAACCACTGCACAGTCGACTCGAAACACGAGGACATCAACAAAAAACGGCAGCGAGCGCTGGTGCTGTCATTACAACTATTCATTTCTAAATACCAAGATCAAGCATAAAATGAAAACAACATGCATGAGAGAAGCAAATTACAGTAGGAAAGGAGACGTAACGAAACCAAGCTTAAGCTACGTCGCCCGGGTTTTATTTCTTTGCTGTGAAAAAATACTACACAACAAAGGGGAAAACGACACAAGGGTAAAAAAGACAAGGAAAACTTATCCTACCATTACAATGTCATGTGGCCTCGGTCACTTGTGTTTGTGACGTAAGGGGTAAAAGAATCTTGGGGTCATGGGGCTTCCCCTGACCTAGATTCTATCTCTCAATCACCGGCAGAATTTGTGATTAATGCCTACAGTTCAAAATAGTCATTTTTACTGATCAGAGTCTATGGTGGGTAATTGAACGTAGTGAATTAAAAGATTTTTTATTTGGAACACATCATAATTGATCAGGAAATATTTTTTTGCTCCAATTTTCTGCATCGATGCCGTGGGCCGGTGACCATTATACAATTTAAAATCAGTTTGCATAGTTTACTATAGCTGTTTACAGTCTTCTAATCATTACGATTGATGTAAAATTGGAGCGATGACTGAATAAACGAACCTGATACATCTTCGCCAGCCAACCGACAGCCTGTATAAAAGGGGGGGGGGGGGGCTGTGATTGGCTGTTACTTACGCAAGATTTGAACGGGACTTACATCGGCGTCGGATCAGATGTATGTAGGGCGGAATTAAATAAAATCACAAAATCAAAATCAAAGCAAAATAATAAAATTAATAACAAAAGTAATAAATAATAAAATTAAAATAAGTTTATAGCCAAAATAATTAAAGCCTGTACACTACATCAGATTTTTATCAGATTGAAATTATACTTATGTTACTAATAAAATGAAACAAAATAATTGTATTTGGCACACGTGGCTGGTAAATGTGATGTGATGCATGGTCTACTTTTTAATCCAGCAAGAAAAAAAAATGTATAAAATTTTAGATAAGCTTCTACAATAGTTTCTTTCGTTTTGGGTGGTCCAACTGCCGGCGTTGAAAATCGGCGTAGGTAGATTTTTCAATGAAAATAAAAGCCCCCCCCCCCCCCAAAAAAATATTTGATGTTAATATTTTTCAGTTGGGCGAATTTACAGCAGAATCCGGTAGGAATGTTTAGCAGGTAAAAAATGAAAGCAATGACGGAACATGGGAGAACAATAGTGTTCTCTCTCTTGTCCTAATAACTTCCATTCAAATACATGATGACATCACAAAATTCTTGACTTCACCAAACTTAAGACTAAGATTAAAAGCATAACAATTGAATTATACGCTATCAAATGGCAGTCACTTAAAAATACGAGAGAACCCGGCACCAAAACGATCCCGGCACCAAAACGATCCCGGCACTTCAGCGAATGAACCTAATCTTACTGTATAAGTCCCTGTCACTTGAATGGTAGAACAGAAATTTTCATTTTCGTGTAATTTGATGAGTAGAAGACATGATTCGGGCGACTGTAGCTACTCCGATATTCAGTCAGTGCGCGTATGTAAATGTACGTCCATGTTTGGATGTACCATTATAAAAACGGGGTGGGGTGGTGGGTGATTTGAAGTGGGTTAGCAGGCAAGAGTTTTGAACCAAACTGATTTTTTTTTTATATTAATACAGTATTTTTTAGTGAAATTAAATTTGTGTAATAAATTTCGTTCCTGATTATCATGTTTTCTTCTATTTTTTTTAATTTGTGTTCATTTGGTATACATGTTTTTAATACTAATACAGCATTTGATTTACTTTAAGTAAAATTAAAAATAGTCAAACTGCAAAATATATATGCGTATTAATAAATTGTACGTAATTGTAATCATTTTATTTGTTTTGTTTTTTTTATTTGTGTTTGTTTCAATGCTTTTTTTTATAATAAAGCAGTATTTTAAATGTAGTTGTGAAATGTACATAATTGTAATCATTTTAGTGCCTAATTATTTGTATCATAGAATTTTTAAAATAATATACGACATTTTTTTTATATATTCCAGGACAAGTTCAAAATTTATAAGTGGCAACTAGTTAAAGAATACTAGTATAAAGGTCATACATTGTACACTTTTCTTCTACAGCAATCATACAACACTCATTCAAGTTTGGTACAGTATATCTCTTTTTGGAGGATGTGGTGGCCCTCAAAAGGGCTGTGTTGTTTTGTTTTTTATGAGGTTTACTCCTCTTGGGATGGCGCTGTTATGTGTGACAAACACTTCAAAAGACGAAATGTAGTCAATGTGCCATCTCTATACTGTTGCCAATAATCTGCTAACTTCCCCTGCATTCTTTTGGTTTGTTTTCTTTGATATTTTGTTCAAACTCATCCACGAAATATGGTTTAAACATCTCGTGATTTATATACTTGTCGTATCGTATTTGAATTAAGAACTATAATAAACACATTTACTAAGTATCGGTACGTGCACAGAGGTTCGTCCATGGTACGTGCAACCGACAAACATTCACGAAATCGACAATCTACATTTTCGTAAAATCGACAACCAAAAAAACAGGTACGAGTAGCAGGTTAAAAGTATGTGTATATCTGCAAATAAAATAAAAATGTTTGTTAAATCAACATAAATCCAACACAAATGCGTGTCCGTTCAAATTGGTGCCAGCTCTCTCGTACATTGTGGTGCCGGGTTGGTTTCGGTGCCGGGATCTCTTGTTTTCATCAAATGGCAGTCACTTAATTGGTAAACGGTCCATATACAGCATACATCTTACCCCCCCCCCCCTCCCCGTGAAGGTCAACATCCTCAATCAAAACAAATGACTCGCATTCTACAAAAGTTAAAATTACACCTACCTTTCACAGCTCTGTGTATTTGTTTCACACGAGTCTCCGTTATATCGTTCATCATCGTCACCAAAATGATATTTCTGAGCGAGAACGCGGAATATGGGATCCTGTCTGGCAACTATCAGCGAGTCTTCGTGCGAAGGCGTCACGACAACAACACCATCTTGCTCGCTTAATTTCCAATGATTTGCCGCAGACGACGGAGTATTACTCTGAACGATGCTTGACGACACAAAGTAAAACGCAACGTACGTCATGCATGGCAAATCGCTAAACATGGCGAGAACAAAGTAGAAAATCTATCAGAAATTGTCACAAACTTCAACCTGATCGATATACCTCAATCTCGTAGTTTGAGGTCAAAGGTCAAAGTTAGGGGTTAAAGGTTGTATGCACGATATGTTTTATTTTGTTACAGGTTTAATTAGCAACAAATGTTAGACAGTCGGTTCAGTTTAATGGGTTTCTTGTTGTTCAGAAATAAAACACTAACAAACTAGAGACTTGTTCTCGCATTTGTTGGGCCCGATAAACAATACGGAACTTGTCCACGTTGGCTTCTTTTGATTGGCTCAGCAAATTATGTTCATCCGCAACAAAAAAAAGTGCCGTGGTTATGTCAATTAGTTTAATTATAATACTCTTTTAATAATAACAGCATCAAATTAAAATTAGTTAAATTGTGCATATATTAGAAAAAAATCAAAGAAATGTGTTGATATTAGAAATTATCACGATTTTCTACTGTAGCCGTATCACATGAGGTCACCTTTATATTAATAGGCGTCCTTTTCCTATTTGGTTCAAGATGGCGGCAGCAGTGGGTGCGATAGTTGTGCTGGCTTTTTTGGCCATTTTGGGGTCTGTTAATGCAGATGGAAGGATTTTGGTGTTGTTGGATAATATGGCGATGAAAGAAACGCATTCAATATTTTTCAAATCTTTAGCAGGTTTGTGCATTTATATTAAAACAGTATATTCGCTACACGTGTGCAGAGCTGGTAGATCCGTTCTATGATAATGTACTATGACTACAGACACAGTCAGCAACTAGGCACTTTAAGATTATCTTCAAATTGGTGGTATTCATTTGATCAGGAGACAAATAGCTACCACTAAACCGTGATTTGCTATTTGTTATTTTCAAGATAAACTTCGATCCTGTATAGGAATTCAATTTAATTAAAGTCAATTAATTTGCAATCTTTTTCGGGCAAGCCAGTAGAAATACATGATATATTGAAGATAATATTTGGTAATTTTTAATAGTTATTTAGGACTACGATTACCAAATATTATCTTCAATATATCATACTTATCAGTCCGAGCAGCGTTTATTTATTTATAAACTACTATTACAGTAGAAATACATGTAACATATAAATTGCAACTAAATTTATGAGGGTTTGCATAGCTTAGGGTTGAGGAGAGTGGGTAAAGTATTGTACAGATTACCATACTTCACCCTGATCTATAACTTAAGGTATGCATGCAAAATTATCTAATCATTGATTAGTGGTGGCCTAGACTCACTCAAAACGGTCAATTTATGAGGTCCACTGACTAGCTGACAACAACTCTATGCATTCATCTTGATGGTAGGTTACCGATGTTAACGAAAAAAATGTACCGTTGTTTTCATTTAGGGAGAAATACCTACATGTAGAATAAAAGTCTCCTAATTTGAATTTCTCAATATCCAACCGAATTTGTTCATACAAATATTTTTAGTAGGACATTTGTCAAAATTAAAGCACTGTAATGGATACTATTAATTGAAAAGTAAATTTTAGGGAAAAGTGCAGTAACTATAGCAATTTAAACTGCTATTGTTTAAGTTGCGAGACTTTGCCAATCAATACAACCTCTAAATTCAACTTCTTTGCCAATAATAGCCATTCCAATACATGTACATTCATGCAATGTATACACACATGAAAAGACATTTCTCAAACCACATAAATTACAAATTCTGATCAATGTCTATAGAGATCAAGAACAGTAACATTCAGGGATGTTTTTGCATGCACATATTAACTCCATGGGTTGAATTTGACATCACATACTGCCACCATCTTTTGGGTCTTGTAAACAAAAATTGGTAAGTTGTCATTTTTTGAAACATTTGAAAAAGAATTGCGTACATTATATTCAATCTGAGAAACAACAGTCTATTCATGATAAAACTTTTACTAAAGTGTTGCATAACCAAGTTATGCCATAGTTGTTACAAAGAAAGGTGTAGTGAGAAATGCCATGTTTTGTTTGGTAATGGTCAAAGTAGATAAAATATTTTTTTGAGGATAAATTTTTTGTGGTGGAAGGTGCAGAAATATTTACTGAACTATTTAAAAGCTGATATTTAATAATCAGCAACAGCACTCTAAAGCAGAAAATTTAAAACAAATAAAAATAAATATTCATGGTCAGCAGGTACCAAATTTAGTTTCCTTCAATCAATTCTTTACTTTAGAAAATAGTTCTCTTGACAATTTGTTCGATATTTATCTTAGTTGCATTGTATTTGGGTGTAGTTTTGATGTTCAAGAATAGAATCTGAATTTATTCTCGATTTCTCCAAAATTGAAAAAGACTTACTGTAAACCATAAATTGTGGATTTTGTTAACAAGGCAATGGCTATTTCAAGTAATTTTTGTGTAATTACACATTTCATAATTAGTATTTTTTTTTTCTTTGTCTTGAATTTGTTGCATACATGTATCCAACATACTTTATTAGTCAGTGTTCTTCCCAGGATATAAACAGCGTGACGGTCCCGCCACAATGCTTTGATTTGCCGCCACACCGGTCTGACGTCGCCACGGTGATTAGCAAGACCGCCACAGTGCTCTTTTCATTGGGTATCTCGTCATGTTGGTCGGCCCGACCGGCACTCAAAATTAACGACCACCGCGAAAACGCTTTCGACCAGGACTATTGTCATATTGTTATTATACTTGCGTACCGACTGACATGCATCCTGCCAGTCGTGGATAAGAATTTTTAAACAATAGACACAGTCGCGCAACGTGGTATTGGCTTTAAACAATACAAGTCAATTTTGTAAGATTAGCACCTCTTTGTTTGTGAGTGAATACTTTCTGATGATAGACGCAGTCTTTAGATTGAAAGCTAAAATTCTTTCAAAATCAATTCCACCCCGATGTAACATGTGCAAAGTGGAGTTCACAATCTGTTTACGCTACTCGAGAAAAAACGTGGTTATTGTGTGATTGGGTAAAATACATTTGAACTGTTCACATCGTGAATCATGTAAAAACTCTTCTTTCAAGACTTTTTTCACCTTTTAAAAATTGCTAATCACCTCTTTTGAAAACCATCATGCAGTTTTCATCTGAAGTTTTATTTGTTCGTTCATTACTGTGAATATATACGTTTTAGAAATTGATGATACGAATAATAAATTACAACAATACTCCAAATAATGGTCGATTTTTTGAAGGAGAATGTATTTGGAGTAAATAAGATCAGGAAAATATTTCTGGCTGAAACGTTTCAAATGAGTTTTATTTAACTTTTTACAATAGACATTAATATTGCAACAATAATTTATTTGTTTCTGTTTTTTAGTTTGCAGCATTTGCATTTTGAATATATTTAATTTTTATATTCAAATGTCTTAATTCCAAAAATATTTGCACTGCGACCGAACTCATTAATATTTATTGCTAATTAATATTCATATAGCTCATTAATATTCATGATCGACCGGCACTCACGTTGGGCTGGCGAGATCCCTGTCTATGCACAACTTCTTCTCAAAAACCGCCGAACCGTTTGATTGATTTTTGGTGTGTGGATGCCTTGATGAGTGCAGATGGTAATTTGTTCATGAGAAGTCGATCTGCCAAAAATTACCCCCCCCCCTCCAAAAAAAAAAACTCTAAAATTTCTTCTATGCTACTATGACACTAAGTGGTCTACACTGCTGATATTGATAGTGCATGTGCCTTGGGTTGTCCTCTATCAGTTTTGTAAATTGGGTAATTTTCAATTTCCTAATTTTGGTGAATATTTTAAAATTGTAATTTTTGGTCAAAAATTCTATTTTCAACTTCTTCTTCAAAACCGGTAGCCTGAATGCTTTGATACTTGGTGTGTATGTACTTTGTGTTGACATCTACTAGATTGTTCATCCCATGGCCATATCTTTAATTCTCTAATTTTGGCAAATATTTTTGTCATTTTTGGTTAAAAATGGAATTTCAACTAACCACTATTTCCAATGCTTTGGTGTTAGGCATACATGTGTTTATTATTCCATTGACAACTTTGTGTGGTTGTTTGGCGATATTTCATTTAAAAGTACAAATTTAAACGAAAAGTTGTGGCATTCTCGCCTGCCAAAGTTTTATTTCCGCCTCGAGCTTCTTCTGCCACATTAAAAAAAATGTAAACAATGCATGTGACGTCACTGAGCCCCAACGTTCGGTCTGGTGAAATCAGCTCGCGATGTCAGTGTGTTTTCTACGAGTCGCACGCGAGTATTTTATTTTGTCCACCAATTCGAACGTTTTCCAGGGTATTTAATTTGCATATCAGCTAGTGAAATTCAAGCTATTTGGGTGCTATTTCAAGAACCATTCAACATATTTCAACAAAATTTGGTATATTCATGTATTGTTATTCTCTCAACACGCTGGAGTTCATTTTAAGCTCTCTAAGATTCTAATTTTATTGAATATTTCTTTTATTTTTGTAAAAAATTCCACTTTTTTGGCATTGTTTTATTGTCTCACTCGCTGCCTTTTGGGGTATTTGTCATATACAGCACTAATCTTTTGTACAATAGCCATTGAGTAACAGGCCATTGGCCTATTTTTATGATCACTACCATTCGGAAAACTTTGGGCATTCTGATTGGTTGATGGCGTTTTTGACCCATAGGGTCAAAGGACACATAATGCGTCATCAACTATCATGGCGGGTCTGTGTTTCACCGAAGTGATCGAGTGATCAAAAATAATAATAAAACTAATTCAAATTTTACGTTAACATTTAGGTAACATTTTTGGCATGGCATCATGACTGAGTAAGAGGAATTATTGGTATAAACGGTGTATAACATCGCGAAGTAAGTTAAGTCACGTCGTAACTTTGATGATCGCTTGGAAGTGTTATTTGTTCGTTCATAACTGTAAATGAAAACATTGTAGAAGCTGATGGTCGGAATAAATAACAAGCAATCCGCCAAATAATTATGTGGACGATTTTTTGAAGGCGAATTATTAAATTAGTAAATAAGATCATGAAAGTCGTGAACATAATCCTGACTGAAACGTTTCAAATGACTTTCATTTAACCTTTTACAATTTATTTGTTTCTTTTTAAGTCTGCAGCATTTGCATTTCGAGAATGTTAAATTTTTAAATTCAAACTCTTTTAAATTGTGAAACGTAATATTTTAATCCCAATAAAAATCAAAGAAAGCTTAGAAAGAACTCCTGTGTGCTGAGAGTATTGAAGACACATTAAAAATTAATTAAAAATTACTTGTACATGAGATATTGATGGAGAAGCTGAAAACTAATTATGTAAATCAGGTGACTAATATGAACAGAACAGAACAAAAAAATTAATTATTGTGCTAATTAGAGAATTAATATGAACAGATTTTAACCCAAAATTAATTAGGCTGTCTATTGTCCTAGAGCATTTATGTACCAAATTTTATTCAAATGTGATGATCAGTAATTGAGATATCAGTGTTAATTATTTATGTTAATTAGGTGATTAATAAGCATAAATATTTATCAAAAACTAATTGGGTCTCTGCATAGTTCTCTTTAAAAGTTTCATTAAAATCCAATTTGTAGTTCTTTATATATCAGTGGAACATTATTATCAGTTCTTTCTCAAGCTGTAAATTTCAATGATGATAATGGATTCAGATTGTGAGGAATTTGACACACATTATGACAGCTGCAA